CAAGCTGCCTAATGTCTGCTAAAACATGTCTGTAACTGTTTTTAGTAAAAAGCTCCATAAATGGCTTTTAAACAACCCTTTTTATAATGTTAGTGAATTTTTTTATACTTGCCCACGTGAGACTGATTTGATGTAATTTAACTAAATGTTGTGTATGCATGGTATTGTAAATGTTTTTTTCTATGTAGGCCTACATGTCAGATGTGTTTTTAAATTTTACATTTTCTTATTGTTAGACCGTTAGAAGTCTTGTAAATAAAATGTGACGATGTCTATTGCTAATTTGTAATGTGCTGAATGACGGAATAAATGCCTTATTAATGCCTTGTTAAAACAAACTGTATTATTTTACGATCGAAGGCGGATAATCCGATTAACGGTTAATACGAGTTCGGTTAAGAGGGGGTCTACTGTACATAAAAAGGTAGGTATTTTAAGCCAGTATGAATGAAGATGAGTGTAGGGGATGAGTGGCGCGCTCTTGTAGTCTTGTTGGCTGACATGTTCCTTAGGCAGGACAGTTAATTAATAGCCCATACAGCAAATGGCAACTAAGGGAAATACAGTTTATAGTGGAATCCGAACCACAGTTTTGCCTTGTAATTTATGAATTGGTCTAATTATAAGGATAGTAGTTACTGTAGATAGTTGTAATACTCACTAGTGCAGGCATTAATCCGCACCAAGGAGTATCGCATCCACAGATCCACAAATCAACATAAAAATCCACAATTCAAGACCTACAAGTAGCTGGACTACAGAACGACGCCACAGTCTCAGCCGTCATGGATTTGTACTCTATATAGTAACAACGACGGTGCATGACGCAAAGTTTATAGTGTACAATAACTGGTTTGATCTCAAGCGTGTGCGCTCCTCGGCGTGCTTTCTCGTATTTCTTAGCAAAATGTTGACAGAACATTCCATAGTTTTCCTACTATGTACAGCTATGGTCTCCTGTGGTTTATTTACTTTCCCTATGCATACACCAAACAAAAGTTGTCCATTTTATTCTGACAATAATTGTAACTGAGCAAATAATTTTGTGATTATAAAATCATAAAATAAAGTAGGCCTACATACAACTTTAAATAGTCAAACAAAGATACAAAAAAAAAAATCAGAAACTCAATGACAACCGCTTATCAGGAGACAACAACAGCTGACAAACGATGAGCTGATTCCAAAACCATACAATTGGCAAACTTTGAAGTTTTGTATCCGTAAAATCTGTCAAAACATAGTTTCTGATTTCCTCTTTCATAAAAAAATGATTAAAATAGGAATGTGAATATTTTGTGCTTTGTCCATTTTGGTGACGCACTGCATAGTAATGAATTGAGATTGTGGCTTAACCTTCCAGAGGTCGCATCACGGAAGTAACCTCCAGGGATGTTTTATTTTTCGCAATTATATTATTTTGAGTGGTGTCGGCAGTGTGAGTGTCACTGTACCTCACGCACCTCATTCCTAGAATCGAGTGAAGGTCAAAACTCACCCCTACTATTTTTATATTTGTTAGTTTTGTTAGTCTTGTAAGAGGCTGGAAGTAGCTTCCGTGTGCGCTCTGCCCATTCTTGTACAGCCTGGAGGCAACTTTCGTGTACGACTTCTAGTTTAGTGTGTGCGTTGATTATAGAGTGTAATAATTACAGTAAATAATTATTTTTTTACGATTCATGACATTATTTACTAAATACCGGGTGTCCGAAAAATAACTCCCTAGTTTTATCAAATTTCTGAGGACAGTATTCGTTAGAATGGACAAAAATAATTCTTTGGGCCTGTTGAGTATGCTCTTAAGTTTTAGTTTCGTACGTTGGTATTAAGGTTGGCACACCTGTTTGACCTTGAGCGTGTAGTTCCACCACGCGCCGCGCCGAGCGCTAGACTCGACTGTCTGACTGTCAGTCAGTGCAATGGCTACTCCACAGCAGAAAGCACAGTGCGTAATTTGGTTAGTGGAAACAAAATCTGTTACACTACTGTGCAACTTAACTTCAGACGTGAGTATGGTGGCTGTGCACCTGATCCGAAATCAATTCGCAGTTGGTTAAAACAATTTAAGGAGACGGGAAGTGTTTTAAAAGGAAAACGACCGGGTAGGCCATCTGTTTCAGCGGAGAATGTAGAGAGAATCAGAGCCTCATGCCAACGCAGCCCTAAGACGTCACTAATGCATCGTAGTCTACAATTGGGATTACCAAGATTTACTGTCTACGACGTGATACGTAAAAGACTGAAATTACATGCGTACAAAATCCAACTGGTCCACGAAATAAAACCAAATGATAAACGCTTAAGGTTAGATTTTGCTGTGGACATTCTAAACAAAATTGATGAGAATCCAAACTACCTGAACAATGTTTTGTTCACTGATGAGTCAACGTTCCATGTTAACGGGGTTGTAAATCGCCACAACTGCCGAATTTGGGGGTCTGAGAAGCCACGAGAAATTGTTCAACACCAACGAGACTCGCCTAAGGTTAATGTGTGGTGCGGTTTAATGAACGATCGAATTGTTGGACCTTTTATTTTTTGTGAAAACACTATAAATGGCGATATCTACTGTGAAATGCTTGAACTGTACGTGTTTCCACAGGTGGATGACATCAAGGCGGAAAAAGGACTAGTAATATTCCAGCAATAGACAATAGACAATAGACAAAATCTTTATTGAAATATTCCTAGAGAACATTCATGCGTCAGGTACATAAAATTTACAGTATGTACGTAAACTATTACAGTAATTTGCAATTACAATTAGAATTTTTTTCTTCTTTTTCTTCTTTTTTTCATGGTAGCTTATTGTTTAAGAATTCATCCTCAGAGTAGAACGGCCGGTCCATAAGCCATGTTATCAGGTGCTTCTTGAGCAGATTGGGTTGTTCTCTCTTGAGGTGCTCTGGTAGGTTGTTAAAGTACAGAGCACCTTTGTAGGATGGTTCCTTCTCGTACAGACTCAGATGGTGTTGTGGGAGGGAAAAATTGGCGGCATGTCGTGTGTTGTGCTGGTGTATGTCTCTTGTGTCTTGGCTGGGCTGTTTTAGTGGTGTGGATAATGACTTCTCTTATGTAGAGTGAAATTGATGTGAGAATTTTAAGGTTCTTGAAGGCTTCTCGGCAACTGTCTCTGTAGTTCAGGTCGGCAAGGCATCTAATTGCTCTTTTTTGCTTCAGGAGTACTCTTTCCAGGTTGCCTTTTGATGTTCCACCCCAAGTCGCAATGCCATATCTGAGGTGGGACTCGAATAGAGCAAAATATGCAACTTTGGCTACTTCTGGGCTGCAAGCTTGCTTGATCCTACGTATAACGTAGAGACTTGAACTTAGCTTTTTGCAGAGCTGGTCTATGTGGGGTTTCCATGATAGCTTGGAGTCAATTATGATGCCTAGGTATTTTGTGGTATTTTGTGTTTGTAGTCCCGGTATTGTAATGTCTGTGTTGTTGCGTTTGGTGGTGAAAGTCATTTGAACGGTTTTGCTTTCGTTTAGAACTAGGTCGTTGGAGGTACAGTATTGCTTTGTTCTCTGGAGTTGTGTGTTGGTTTTCTCTTCCAGATTTTCCATTGTTTTGTCCGCAAATGTGAGAACCGTGTCATCTGCGTACATGGTGGTGTGTCCATCTTCCCCAATCCAACTAGGTAGGTCATTCGTGAGAAGGAGGAAAAGGACTGGGCCAAGTACTGATCCTTGGGGTACTCCTCTTTGCACGTCTACAGCTTTGGATTGGGCCTTATACTTTGTGTTGTTCTTTATGTAGGCTATTTCCACAATCTGTTTCCGGTTACTAATGTAGCTTTTAAACCATTCTGCTGCTCTTCCTCTCACGCCTAGTGTTTCCAGCTTGAGTAGAAGAAGTTCGTGATTTAGGCAGTCGAAAGCTTTACTAAAATCTAGGAAGAGGCTTGTTGAAGTGCTGCCTTCTTCTAGTTGGTCTAGTATGTGCTCCGTCAGTTGTATTAAGGCTGTGGTTGCATTAAGGTGCGCCGCCCCATTACAAAAAACGTGTGCGCTCGGCCTTAAACGCTCGTTTCCCGGCAAGACGGATGGGGAGAGCTGGCCCGATCGCGTGGCCTCCAAGAAGCCCAGACATAACACCACTGGATTTTTTCCTGTGGGGTTATGTTAAGAACTTGGTTTATTCAGAAAAGATACGTGACATTGACCATCTTCGTCAAAGAATCGTAGCTGCAGTAGAATCAGTGACACCTGATATGTTAACTAACACTTGGAGAGAGATCGAATACCGGTTAGATATCTGTAGAGCTACAAATGGGTCACATATCGAGGTGTACTAATGTCAAAATAAACTTGAGTAAACCCTCTTTAATTTCATGTATTAGATATAAGAATATGTATTCTCCACAATAAACAATCGTTTATCAAAACTAGGGAGTTATTTTTCCGACACCCGGTATATAGTTTTTACATGATGAGTAAAGAAGTTAAATTTCGAACTGCAACACTCTTAGCCAGTGCTGAAAGGGAGATTCAAGAACGAGGTATGTAATGAGTCATTTAGTTAAGACACCCAATATGTTAAATTACTTAAAACATCAGGTATTGTGAGTGTTATCATCTAGAACCACATTATAGGACATTGCGGTAAAATTAAAATTAACTTCTTGAATATATTCTTGTAAAAGATTTCTTCATATACTTTTATGTTAGAACATTTGATAGAATAATACTTTAATTTTATATTTATGAAATCTAATCAAGTTATTTTATAATTAAGAGCTCACTAAACACATTTTTTATGTTTAAAATTAATAATAAAAATTAATTTGTGCACTAAAATAAAAATTTTACTTCATAAATGTTTGTTTTTATTGACCTGGAAGTAACATCCAGGTGCGCCCTCTCCCGTTTTGAAAACCAATGTGCCCTCTGATAGGTTTTTAAGCATTTTAGACAGCGGTTAAAATTTAAGTTGAAAGTTGAATTTCATCCAAAAATGCATTGCATTACAAAAATATTTGCTAAATATTGCTCACATGAGTGTACTGTTGATTGTAGAGAGATTGATAGTCCTGACGACTCATGTTGACTAGATGAGTCATCTGTTGTCGGTACTTGCTCATGATGAGCTCCAGGGCATTCTGGTGTTCCTCTAATGCAGCTCGCAACTCACGGTTCTCCTACAAACAATAAACAGTGATTCTAATGATGTAACCTGTACTATATCCTAAACCACTTTCAACGTTAAGTACAGTTCATAAAGGGAGCATTAACATTAAGGGGCATCGGACTACCGAGTACGTTGGATTACCAAGGGACAACTTTAATAGCAAAATTAGATTTATTTCCACGGTATTTATTTTATTTAGACACCCTTAGAACAGCACAGTAGGAAGTATGCAATGCTCACCTGCTGTAGTTCCCGCAGATGTCTGTTCTCCTGTTGGATGCCAGCAATGAGGATGGAGTGTGGCCGTTGTCTTGCAGCCTCATTCAGCTCTCCCACCTCATCCTTGTACTGTCACAAAATATGAGGTAACTTATACAAAAAATGTAATATATTATAAATAAACTTATTATTAAGATACACAAACAGAGAGCTTCCTCTGATGTTTGATGTTTAAAAGAATCAGTAATAATGTTCTAGTAGGTAGTCAGTGAATTAGACGAGGGTCCAGATAAAGCTTTTGAAAGCTTTATTTTTTACAAACTCTAGTAAAATGCAACTACTGTAGACTCCCTCTTATCCAGGACTGAGGGGAGTCCAGCTAAACTAATGTCCACTGAATCACTTGAAAACTAAACCAAATATTTTACTGAAATTTGAGAGAGCATCGTATTTAGACATGTGATTACTGGTCTCAAATTTTTCATCAAGAGAAGTAGTTTCAGTACCACCCACTTCCTTCCATTCCAGTTAAAACATTGTGCCAAAAATATCTCCAGTTTTGTCACTACTGCTGAGTGTAGACTGGTGTAAACAATGCATGGATAAGAGGGAGTCTACTATCTGCCTAACAAATATGATTATCAATTAGGTGATCAGTGACCTCCAATTTTGGCCAAGTGAGCTAGTTCAAATTAACACCAGCACCGTGTTTTTCACTTCCACTTCAAAACATTCTAGCGGTTCCCTATGTGATGATTAGTCTTGTAGTAGCCGATATTGATGATTGACAGAGAAAATCTACGATTCTGCCAATGTGAAACATATTCTACAGACAGTTTCTGTAGGAAGATGGTCAACCACTATTATAAACCTTGGTAGGTAGGAAGCTTTGTTGGTGATTGGTAATTTATAGATATAAAAATACAAGATTCATGGCATAATACTGTACCTGTTTCATTGCATCAATCTTTTTATAAACAGACTGAGTCTGTGAAAGGATCACATCAGCTGCCGAATCGTGTTCCTTCAATTTGCTGGACAGTTTTTTGGCGTCTTGCAGGATTTGTTGAATTGTTAAAGACATCTAAAAATGATAAACATTTACTTAGATTATGATGGAATAAAATTATCAGCCTATCTTAAGAAAGTACCGTAGTTATTCTGATACCAAATGTCTAAAAATGGCCAGGAAACAAACCAACTTGCAAAGCAGGAGTTAGTCAAATTGATTTAAATTCCCTTGGAACCAACAAAAGAAAATGTTATGAAAATTAGAACCTTAATAATCCTTACAGTCTCAATTTAACAAACTAGAGCTACCGTACTAGTCTCTATGGGAAACAATTGCCATGGGCCATGTCGCCATGTGTGGAAAGCTTTTTTTTCTTTTTTTTTACCAGGAGTCGATGTGAGTAGGCAAATAACGCTTTTAAAGGGAAAGCGGTCCAAACCTAAATGTTTAGTGGATGTGCCGGGAATTAACCCATCCCTCTCTCACCGAAGTTTAGACGCTAACCAATAGGCTAGCAACACACCCAACTTTGATGTTTCCCAACTAGTGGTTTAACTGACTTTTGGATGGTTACAACTTGATGTAATGCTCTTCAATATTTCTTTAAATATCTAAGGAATGTCGGCCTTAGTCACTAACAAGACTACAAGATCGTGCCACTCATCCTACACTCATCTCCATTTATACTTGGCTTAAAATACCTACTATGTATGGTTGCCATTTCATTGAACAGTATTAACAGTATTAGCCTAAGTTAAGCATAATTAAACATCTTGAACTAACAAAGTTAAACTAAACTTACACTTTTTTTAATAGTCTAGACCCACAGACAAACCCATCGTACCAGGCTACGTTTTCTTTTGATGAACCTTACCGTTCTGGAGTTGTGGAAGCATATATTTTAGCATATTAATCTTGAGTATTTCAGTACCTAACTTAATTCATTGTGATGTGGCTAAAAATAAATAAAACTTTTGGTTTGTCAAAACCACCTCCTTTTGGTTCACCACACTAAGCTTCAATTGTTATACCTATTAGACTAATGCGCAAGGATTTGGTCCGGCTGTTAGCCGAGCTTACCGGTTATTAAATGGGGGAGGGGTTTCATTAACTTTACTAAAAACTGCACTGTAATGATTTTTTTTGCAAAAAGTCAACAAATCAATAAACAAAAACATAGCCTCTCTTAGACTTGAAGTATGAACGTAGTAGCTGTTAAGTCCTTTATTAGTGGGCAAAGAATAATTTTTACACGCATCTGTGCGACCAAAAAACCAAACAGCAATACAGTAAGTTACACTGACCAGCAAGTCGCGGCCTACGACCTACTACAATTGTAGTAGGAGTAAAAAACTTAGGCCTACTAGAAATTATGTCATAAAATCCTTTTCTTATGGATGCATATTCATCTCCAATCTAGCCTATACCTATTGGACACCTGGACATCATTTTATTTATTTATTTATTATACATTCCAACGGCAGAGCCATTTGAAAAAAAGCAATATTTAAGTATATTTGGCAAGGTGATTTGGTAAGGGTAGACTTATTGATACAAACAACCGAATGAAATATCGATCAATATAGGCTATTGATTATTAGATATATCGTTTGGTTAGTATGTAGTTAACTTAAGGTTAACTACTAACTAAGGTAACCAAATGATATAGGCCTATCGAATGAAACAATCGAATAACCGATATTTTCATTCGGTTGTTTGTGCCAACAGATACGGAAGTCTACCCTTTGATAAGCCTCAAGTATTCCTATTAAATATCTTTTTGCAACTTAGGAGGTATTTAACTTAATGCTAGTTTATACCACAACAAACATTTTAACAAACTAACTTTACACTAGGCTGTCTTTAGTACCACATTGGCTATCAAAACCATTTTTTTTTTTTTTTATAAACTAGGCCTACCTTTCTTGTATTTTATTAGCATTAACTAAGCCTAAACTAAGTAAAACTAGGCCAACTAGGTTTTGAGTCTTTTTGAATTAACCCTACCCTATCCAAGAACTTTTAAGTTACTAGGCTCTTAGGTAATTTCATCCAACAATAATTCGTTGGCTAGGCTAGGTTTCTAGCGGAACTGTACCAGTTTTTTTTAATAGGCCTAGGCCTATAAGAGCTTAAAAACATAGGTAAGTTAGCTTAAAAACATGATAGGGTTATGTTTCTAACTGAGGAGTAGGGTAGATCTGGCAAACAAATGGATGTCAAGTTATTTAGACCCTATGTAAACTAACTTACTGTTGCTTGGATGCATTCTAATTATAACCAGAATCAGAATCAGAATCTTTATTGCCGTTGATCAAATACATTGAGATAGGCATTGTCAAATTAGGCTAAATATTTACATTGGTCGATAATACAAAGTAGGTAACAAAGTAAAAAAGGCTTAATCTAAAGGCTAGATTAGAACAGTCGAATCCAAGAATTCTTGAAGACGAGACGACAACATGTTGTCTTGACGTAATCATCCATGTAAATAGGCCTATCCGCCTATGTCTACTTAGTATAAAATGACACTTACTTTTAAAAATGTAGGCCTAGTCTATCAAAAATAGTGCTCATTGTCACCAAAATAACATTGATAACGCAGCCTACAAAATATTGTAAAATCCGACGGGCTCTATTGCGTAAAAACTAGATTTCACGTCCGATTTTAATACACGATGACTTATTTTACTACTGTAATATAAAAAGTAACTGATCGCTTCTTAAAAAGATTTCGAGATCCACTTCATCTATGATCCAACACTCTTCACTCACGATAGAAAAGTTAAAAAAATTCTATTAGCAAATAAATAGCAATATAGCCGCAGCCCGCAGCTATTACAGCTGTTACTCGTGATTAGAGGTGGGGAGTAAATAACGCAGCCGTTATTTAATAACGGTTATTGGACGATAACTGTTATCGGCAACAGCTGTTATCGAAAACTAGGAGTTATCGATAACCGTCAAAATAACCGTCTGCTTTGCTGTGCATTTTATTATTTTTAGTAACGGAGCGTTTGCCAATCGGTTTAAAATATTTTTATTTGTGTATTTTTGACATTAACTAACATTTTGTAGCAAATAAGATAACCACTTGGCTGTATATAATATCGGATTTGTTTAATAATCTCATGAAAGTAATGGTTATTGCCACTCAATACTGTTGCTGTAGCGCAGCAAACACATACACGGGGTACACGGCTGCCTAACAACTAGAGTTATTAAATAACTGCGTGGTGCGGCAGCGACAGTTATCCAATAGCCACAGGCAGCCGTACGGCTGATCGGCAACTGGAGTTATTAAAATAACTGCGAGGCAGCGACGGTTATCCAGTAGTAGGCACAGGCAGCCATACGCATACGGCTGATCGACAACTGGAGTTATTAAAATAACTGAGAGGCAGCGACGGTAACCGTCTCTCAAACTGTCGCGTAACAACTGTGGCGCAGTAGATAGCCATACGGCTGATCGACAACTGGAGTTATCCAATAACTGCCTAGCGGCAACGGTTATCGGGCAGCCTGAGTTTCTTGCCAGTTGCCATGCTCAGCTCGGCTGAGAGTTATTTGATAACCGTTATTTTAAACAGTTATCGTAACGCAGCTGCTGGGCAAATAACAGCTGGGCATTTCTGACAGTTATCCCCACCTCTACTCGTGATAACTATAACCACAGAGAAGTAATATAAACACTAAGTAAAGTAACTATAACAGCTGTTACAGTTAACAGCTGTTACTCGTACTATGCTACAACTAAGCATGGTGGAAGCAGTAAATAAGGGCGAGGCATTTTTGCCCCCTAGGTGACGTCACGATACCCCTCCCCGCACCGCACCGCCTGCAGCCGGCTACAATGCGCAGTAGCACACCTTATTTACTTCCACCATAGTCAATGATGCAACTAAGTACTAACTGAGACTGACTGACGTAGTGACGTTGGACGTAACACCATAGATTAAACATACTCCCTAAGGGAGTATGTTTTATCTATGGTAACACGATCACGATACGATTACAGTTAAGTGTTTTTATCTTTTTTGTTCGAAAGCAGGCTTATATTATATGCAGCCTGGTTGTGCACTAATTTATTTGACTATTCTGTGGTTTTCATTAGTATTTGGTAAGTTTTTGTTAGTATTGTTGAGGGTTTTGTTATAGTTTGGTGGTAAATTTCATTTTTTGCTATTTGTTTTGTGTGTTGTTGAATGACGACTTCTGATTCTCACCCACTCCACTGAGCTATAACAACAATAGCTCAGTGTTCTCACCTCACTTCACGACCACAAAATAGCTTGTCGGTACCTACCGTTACCGTACCTGTAACAGCTCGTGACACCTGCTCCAGCTGGCACTTGACCGATCGCTAATAGTACTGTATCTTAGTATCTATTTCAAAAACATCATATTATGCTGTCATGCGGGTTGCGTAAACTGTCCTCCGGACTCTACTGAAAGCGGCCAGTACGTGAAACACGGAGAGTCAACCCCGTGAGTCAGAAGAAATGTTTGCAGTCTGGTCTTTTCCTTACTTCCATCCACCTACTGCCTACACTGCCCGCGCTAGGCAAAGTGTCAGCTTATTTGTCAAGAGCTGTACCCGTACCGCAAGTAAAGGCAGAATGTAAGTAATGCAAGTAAAGTAAAATGCAAATGTCTAGCTAGCTACGTCGTCGGAGAAAAAAATATATTGTCAGCTTTTAATAAGTACATTTAATACCCTACTCACGGCTCGGCCATCTTTAACCACGGCCACCTTATACTCCAGGCCACGGCCTGGTAGAATTGGCAACGTCGCAACGCAAGTAGGGTTGTTTAGTGTCCGACGTCCGACGTCCCATAAGATAACATGGCAGACAGGTGACGATCAGCCCATTAATTCGTACTTTATTGATTTAAATTTATGGACATAAATTTATTGAAACTAGAGTACATGTTGATCGAAATCGAGCAATTGCAAAGTGTTACAGGAGTTGCGTAAAAACGAATAACAGTCATAATTTCCGATGAATTTAAAAGAGTCAACTAAAAGATTATGTAACTAATGGAAATACTCACGATGATCATAACAGTCCAATATAATCAACGTCTCTTGTAAATACTTTATACATTTTCAAAAGCTGCTCTTGTTTTTTAGTGTTTTCCAAAAACGTTTCCCACTCACAGCAGTCACAGCCACATTAGGTTGTCCATGTTCATCTTCGTCTTTGATAATGTTGAATGACAAATAGCAATATTTGATATTCGGCCATTCGTGCCAGTACGTTACTACGTTTACAAATTTGAGTAATTTTTAATAGCGATAACATTTCTTCACATTCCTTAAAAACTAGGTACCTAACTGATTTCCAGCATACCCTGTCTGTCACGATTATTCCTTAAAAACTAGGTACCTAACTGATTTCCAGCATACCCTGTCCGTCACGATTTTATATGCTTCAATTGAAATTATTTTGGTTAGTTATTGTAATGACGTCAACTGTATTTACCTGGGTAAATGCAAAGTTAAATAAGGCCTGATGTTTTTCAGAGTTTTTTTTTGTTTCCCTTAACTGTGAATAACTAGCAGAGTACCCGTCCTTCGTAGGGGTTGGCATATAAGTGTAAAATGCTTATCGCAGTTATACTCTAACTTAGCGTTTGCAATTCTGAGAGAGGACACAGTTTAATAAAATTTGCTTCTTTAAATTTACGGTATACAATAGTATTACACATCTACCATAGCCATAATGTTCTACCACTTCACCTAAACAATAGAGAAAAAATATATTAAAAATTCGCAAAATATCACAAATTATTCATGAAATTGAAAACAAACATAACTGTAAACAATCCTACTTTGACAGTTCTCATTGCATATCAAAGTTTTTTGTTGCTGCTTAGATAAAATTAGCTGTTTTCAAAAATGCAAAATAATTAAAGTGCTGCACCCTGTTGGTAAATCTTATACGTAACTTATAACTAGATTTGATTTGACTAAATTCTTTAATTCCCTTTAAATATGAATACTCATAAGGTTAACTTGGGAAACTACAGAGCCACTGGGGCGGAGCCCGAATGGATTTTTGAGATAAGAATATGCCTATATGTTAATCGAGGATGTGAGCTACCATCATGCCAAATTTCAGTCTAATCCGTCCAGTAGTTTATGCGTGATTGAACTTCAAACAAACAAACAAACACACAAACTTTCACATTTATAATATTAGTAAGATAGTTGAATCTTTCAATGAAGGTTTTACTAAAGGTTTCATGGATGTTGTCATATTCATCTATAACGACTTGACTTTTATGGAAACATATATTTATAATTAAAAACCAAAACAATATGAATTTAATATATATCTTTAGGTTTAAAGCGGAGTAAATATTTTCATAGTCTAGTAACCAAGCTTTCGTAAATACACAAATACCATTTAGCTGCTTCCAAACAAAACAGCTCTGTTACAACCCTACTTGCGACGTTGCCACTTCGAAGGCCTGGAGTTAAAGGCGGCCGTGCTTTAACCCGGCATAGTAGTAAAATTATTCAGGATTTAGTATCCTAGGTTATTCCAATTAAACCTGGTTTTAATTCACCTATTTGGTTTTATATATTTTTAAGTTAGGCCAGCATATATTGCTATTTAATCTATATCTTTATCTACATCTATATCTTTTTTTAACGTGACACGTCCGCCACAAAAGTAGAAGTAAAAGTATATGTAGATATTTTTTAATGGTTTTATAGTGTTTATATGTAAATAGTAACATGACACAATCTATCCGACATGTCGGTCAACGATGTAGAAGACGTATTTCAAGTAAGTAAGTATTTCAAGTATATTAAATTTTGAACTCGGTTATAAAGGCATTGCATACAAGTGTGAGGTTTGTGTGCATTTATATATGAAAATTCATAATTCTAAGAGTAATGATTTATTGTGTAAATATTTTACAGGTACACATTATTTCCAAGTGCTGTTTCTGAGTAACCTCCAAACTTCACTTTTCTAATAATCAGTACAAGTGCCGACTTCACTACATAGATGTTTACTCATATCAATCATTTCCTCAAATCCTCATATGCATAATTATTATAGTCCTCAATTAGGTGGCGCAGACTGTACTTGTTGGGAATCTGAGGTTGAGGCCTTGGAAAAGGGTTAGGTTTGAAAGGGCCGAAAAGGGTAGTGATACCATCCGCTTGGAAATGTGATGTAAGTAGGTTTCTTAGCACAAATCAATAGCTTAGCTTATTGAGAAAAAGTACAGTGGAGTATGTTCTAACCTGTAAACCTACAACTGTTATCAAAAAATTGTTTCTTTAAAAAAGAAAACGAGCTTTATCCTTATCATAATATCAGGTCATTTGTGTACTCATCAGCACTATTAAATTCCATTGGCCAGGCTAACTTTGAATTTTTTACTACGCTTTTGGTTGACCATGTTTCAGTTAAATTGGGGGTAAAGGGGCTTTACACAGTATGGATAAAAAGGTTTCATAAAATTGCATGAGCAATGTAAATAATTGTTGTATTAAAACAGGTTCCTTTTATTTCAAGGTAAAGTTGGATTCACACTTTCATATTTAAGTCTAGATTCATTTTAACAACTAAATACAATAGTAGTAGGTACTGTGTAACAAAATGTAACTTAGTTACTCAACTTTTAAATACTCAATAGTAATTATTTAATGTTTATTACCTAAGAATACTTTGCTTGAATATTACATAGATGGAATAGACTAATATTTGACAAGACTTAGCAATGGCTATGTAATAAACATTCTAGGTCTAAGTAAACAGTTAATTTGTGGCTATCACATTTTTGTTTTTTAAAACGTTTAAAATATATTATAAGTAATTTGTTTCAAACGATATTCGTTTCTTCAGAAGCTTTAGTTAAGCAGAGTACTTTTAAAGCTTATAATTTGTTGCTAAAACTTGTTCATTTATTATTATTCATAACTTTATAAGTTTTTAAATTGTTCTGTTTATTAAAGTATTTTTCTAATCTTCTAAGCTGAGGATTTGGTTCACCTTATTGACTTCTGTTTAAAGTATTTCTCAAACGAGATAAAAAGCTTATTGATTGAAGATCAACAAAACATTGCCTTACAACACTATTTTTAGGGAATAGTACTAATTCATATGATAAAGTCATACAGTGGCTGACGAAATAATATATGTCCATAGCGTATAGGCTATAACATTTAAGTGGGCCAAGGCATTTAGATGTTACGAGACATGAAAAAATTTGCATTGGCTATACAAGTATCTTTGAAAATAATCATAACAAACTATTACCATTAGCTAAGAGCCAATTGATGCAAATAGAAATAACTATGTATCGATAGAACAAAGAATTACTTGTACTGAAAATAGCCATTATGCAATAAATTCCTTGTTCAGAAGATTTTTGTAATTTTGTACGGTAACGGTTTATGGCTCAAATAAAAATTGCGAGACCAAATAAACAGAAAAGATAATAACAACATTAGCATTTTAAAATAAAACTTTTAAGTCCTTACTAAGCAAGAAATTCTACTAAGTAAAACATTTCGGCAAGAAATTGCAATTACTAAAAATTAATTATTCCTTATGCTAATTTTCAATTACATTACATTACCACCACAGACTGTACTTCTATTTAAAATGCAACTATATTTAATTTATCGGTATATGAACACTAATCACATCCAACGAGTTACCTAAATTAATGCACAATAAGTTTCGGTTGACGTGCTGTGACCATCGCCCCTCATACAATACAACACCTAAAATAGGGCATGTTACAAATTTAATTTTGTTCCAATACAAATTCTTTTTAACATCACTGATAGAACGGAACTAGGTTCCATTTAAGACTTTAGTTTCTAATTATAACAAGTAAAGTTGTTGTTGAATCAATTCAACTAACACATACCAGAGTGTTTCTTCGTATTATAATATTTGTTTTGATAAGAAATATTTTAAAATTAATAACAAAAACAAAAAAAATTTCACCCTGGTTTAACCGTAGGATTACAAGAGCCTTAAAAAGAAACTTTTAAGTAATATAGACATTTTTTAACACAGTTATGATGTAAACTGAGTAATCAATACCACATACATTTTTACTTTATAAAAACATAATTGTAATATACAATAAAAGATATGTTGGCTTATAATGTGCAAGTAATAAATAATTAAATCTATCGTGAGAGTGATTAGCCACAAATTACCTGTAGCAAGAGTATTTTCTGCCAGAGAACTACAGAATGTCAGTGTTCCTACGACTATCTAAGTCAGCTGGCACTTCTACAGAGCTGCTTGCTTAAGGACAAAAATTAATTATAAAATTCTAATAATATATCACAATAAAACCTCAATATATGAGGCTCACAAAACAAATACAATTCTATTAGGTATTTGGTCATTTTAGCAGAAAAATACAGTATACTGTGTTTTATAGATGGTTAAATAGTTCACTTTAAAGGTTAAATAGTTAACTTAAACAATAGACTTTCATTTCAACTGTCCTCAACAAATTATATTGTTTAGGTTATTAAACTAACCGATGATATATTCAACTTAATTTTTATGACAAAGACTGCAAACCCTCATTATACTGCTCAGCAGTATATTGTTTGCGAGCTTGTATAAAAATACTACCAATTAAAACTTAGAATTTATTTTACATCATTTATACAAAATTGAAAATATACCAGAAGTTTTCATTTAGGTAAGTCAAAATTATCACTGTAGTATAAAGTTTAATCTTTTTAAGTGTGGTATTAAATTTTGCTTTAACTCACTTTGACAATTTGATAGTGATTAAAGAATTGCACGAATTATATGCTAAAATGAACAAATACACAATTTTTGTAAAATTAACCAAAAAATAACCGTGCTGCTGCTTAGGAAGTGTTTTAAGTACCTAAGCTTCATAATACAAATAAATTAACAATCTAATATGCAGCAAAATTATGTATATATTATATAACACTGTAAACATTACAAAATGAATGTTTTATGTAATAGTGATAAATATTTACAAGATGCACACAAACTCGGCTGTAAGACCTCATTCTTTGTTCAGGCGAGATCCAGTATATGACTGAACATTAGGTAAGTACAGTTCAGGTGTTAAGCTGCAGCTATGCCAATCTGACTGTGGACAAGAACTTCTACTGGTAAATAAACCACATACATTATATATCTGTTAACAATCAGATGGATGTTTCCAGATGGCAAATAATCAGTAATGAAGGGTGAACTTTTGTAGATTCAAACTGAAAAATAAGGCAAAGACTTAAAAGTGTAAATGAATAACACTGATCAAAGTATTGTATGGCGATATAAAACTTCTTTCAACGTTGCTTATGTACAGAAAACACAAATCAGTCTTGGATACAAAAACTAACAAAATACTCATACCCTGTAGAGTCAGATGAACAGAGCTGGACCGGGATGAAGGTGACTTTGTGCTGATGGAATGAAGGAACGCTCTAAACCGTCACCGGCGGCCTCAGCTCTTTGTTGACCACGTAGAATTTGTGTTTGTTCCCGAAAAGTCCCCAAATTACCGCGAGATTTTCTATACAGATGTTGACAGGTATGGTACAGAGAGCGCCTGCAATGCATAGGGAAAACCGCAGAAGGCCGAACCTATAGAGGGAGAAGGACTTGACGACACCGAACACGTACATGTAGATGTTGACTGCTCCAATGAAAGCGCAGAGAAAATCCATGACGGGTGGGCAGGGGATCGGACACAGAGCAGCCAGCACGATGTTAGAGGTAGAGAGAGGCATTGTCACCCAGGAGTAGCAGGAGATGGCCAGGAGAAACTTGGTCTTGGCAGCCAACTGCTTGGAGTGAACCACCAGGAGAATGCCTTGCAGCCACCTGTACATCACATGACAGTATTAACATATCTGTGTGTGGTAGGCTGGCTAGAGTAACACTCTAATAAGCTAAATAAATGTGGCGAGGCCGTTTTAGATAACCTACCTTTTTGACTAGTAATGGTTGAAATTTAAAGGCACTTTAGTTTAAAGAGATCTAAAACTGTATTTTTATACTGCTTCATTAACCATGCTGCTTCCATTTTTATGCTGGATTTTTTTTTTGTTTTGGTCATTATATCCACAATCATTGTATACACAAAATCTTTTTTTTATCATTGACGAATCTCTAGAATATCAATCTCTCAGTATGAGATGCGTGTTATCATCTTCTCCATAACATTTTGGTGGCCAAGCCAGCCCAACTACCAGTGCTAGGACAAACATTTCGGGGTAGCGGATTTCTACCCCCGGATATTTACCCCCATGAAAAAACGCCTACGTAATTTTGACGTCACGAGGGGCGGGGCCTATACACGATCGAGAAACAGCCCGCGACTGGAAATCTACCCCCGGACATCTACCCCCGGACATCTACCCCCGGAAATCTACCCCGGACATCTACCCCCGTTATCAGCTACGCTACGAATCGGCCAATATGCATTGTTGTAATTGATTTTATTAATTGGTTTATGTAAATAAACGGCTCTTCGGTTATTCATTAGCTTCTAATATCCAGTATAAAGCATGCGATATGTCGTTGTCATGTTTAACATTATCTATCTTCCTAATTCAATAAGCTGTAACAGTCCATTTTCACCTGACCTACTTCGTCGATTTTTACGATTGAGGTGTCATTTTAAAGCCTAAGACCCATTGTAGCACATTCTTATATTCAGAGAATGTATAACGCTTAATATAGGCCTATATATATATATACCGGGTGTTCCAAAAAGAATGGATCAAAAGTAAACTGACATGAACACTTTATTCTTAAAGATAAAAAGTTAACTTTATATACATTTTATTTCTTAACATTCTAAGTTTTTCCCAACATGATTTCACCGCCTAACCTCTACATGTTCTCCGTTGTTCGCTCGGAGAAAGTCAAGGCGGTGTTCAACCTCAGACCACATATTGTGTCGCATTTCATTGGATATTTTCCAAAGGCTTCCCTTATCTTTGCTTTAGGTTCATCTAAGTTTGAGATCGGCAAGTTATACACTTGATCTTTTACAAATCCCCATAGAAAAAAAAAACACAAGGCGTAATGTCTGGAGATCTAGGAGGCCACCGTATGGGACTGGGAAGGTTTCATCCGTCTGGCCGATGTTTCCAGAATCCTTAAACTACCTGTACCATCGCTGCATACTGTTTCTGGATGGTGGATTTACATTGTATACAGTGCGAAATCTTCTTTTTACTTTAACCACTGATTTAGTCTCAATGAACCACTCAAGACGCTGTGCTTTTAACTGCACATTCATAATGCAACTGTGTGGTTTGTTTATGTTTTGAAAATTCAAGCGAGCTCACAACAATGGACAGCTGATTTTTGTTGAATCATACTAAAAAAAACTTAAATATGTCATCTTTAAAATAAGCCATACTTGACTTTCCTACGAACATCAATAACACGTAGGCTATATTAATAGGACGAATAAAATTGGGACACCGTAAAGTGTTTACCTCTCAATACCTCAGTAACAAACAATCATAGAGCAATAAATCAAACTACTTATTTTTTTTTCGAGCTAAATCAGAAGCTGCAATGACAAAAAATATAAAAAATAACTATATTACAAATATTTAAAGACCTATATAAAAATATGAAACACACTCCCTCTTCTAATAGTCCGATATGGCTGGTTTTGGTTTCTGGTTTGGTAGGTTTTCCCAATGACCTCCTTGAAAGAAACAGATAGTCTTGAGAGGAAACGTCACTCTTTATCATTTCGCTAACCATTTGAAGGGTTGAAACTATTTAAACACCTGCGCTGCCTTTCGGGAAAGGTTACAGTGGCGCTAAGAAAATGTAATTTGGTCTTCCACCATATCGCGTACAAGTTTTAATTATGTTCCATACTGATCATTTTCTCTTTATCATTAGGTAGAACCCCCAGCTGTCATTCTGAAGGATTATTTGAACGTTTGAGAATATTCTCTGAAGAAATGTGATTAAAATTAATTAGTCCATTTAGTAATTGTTATAAATGAAAAAGGAATATTTATTTTATTTAAATTAGCCTATAAGGAATCCAGAAGAAATATATTAGTTAGTATTTGCAAGAGGCAACATGATTTGGCGGAAGCAAAGTCTTACATTAGTCATTACAATAGAACAATAGATTCCAGTGACCGATAAGAATCCCCACTACCCTTGACCATGCAGAAATCGTCAGTCTACAGTAGATGACAGGTACGTCTAGATGTCGTTTCCGCCTGTTCATTTTTCCAGTATAATTCCATTATATTTTAGTGCGGCCATAAGCCTAGTTTTCATATTAAATATATGTTTAACTATTTCTCAAAGTATAACAGTGGCGACGAGGTATTTTTAATCGAATTTCACTCGTGCAAAAGTGTTAAAATCAGTGTTTAAAGTTTTGCATATTTCATGCAAAGATCGGTCGAAAATCAGCCATTTTGGGCAAGTATCAGTTACTTTGGAACAGTTCCAGTGAACGGTTACAAATCACAGTTACAGTCTTTGAGTCTAACTATTACCAGTTGGAGTTGTTACTCAAGTGAAACCTATTATTTCTTTTTTTGGAACAGTGACAAGTAGCGGTTGCAAATAAATTTATGCCGCAAGTGTTTACATCCAAGATAGGTTATGTTTTGAAGTTGAAGATGCCAATTTACGTTGATTGAAGTATATTTTCGATTCTGAAGTGTGATTTACTGTAAGTTATTTAATTTCTATGAGTATATGTCTTCCAAACAAGTAATTGGTAAGATAACAGAATTTAATGAAGAACTTGAAAGTTTTGAAAACTATTCTGAACGCTTGGATCATTTCTTCCAAATCAACAGTATCAAGCCTGAAAATAAGGTTTCTTTTTTTATTTCTATTATGGGTCCTACCCTTTATACAACTCTGAAAGATCTTATTCACCCAGTTAAGATAGGTGATGCAACAGCTACTTTTGATTTTATAATTAAGGCTTTGAAAGCTCACTTTGTGCCTAAGGTTAATACAACATATGAACGCTTTATTTTCAACAAAGCTTCTCAAAGAGAGGGGGAGAGTATATCTGAATACTCTGTTAGGCTTAAAAAGCTAGTTTCAACTTGCAACTTTGGTGATTTTCTGGATGAGGCTTTGCGAGATAGATTTTTATGTGGACTAAAATCATCTCAAATCCAAAGCAAACTTCTTGCTGAGGGTACTACATTAGATTTTCCCAAAGCACTTGAGCTTTCTCTACTCATTGAAAATGCAGACAAAAATGTCAGGTCACTACATCCTGATTCTCATATAGGCCTTTGTGCCGAAGTAAACTTTGTCAAGAAATCAAACAAGATAGGCCTACGTAATTCACATCAACCAAGACCTCAAATGTCTAAAGACTCTTACAGTCCAAAATGTTTCCGCTGTGGGAAATCCCATGATTCCAAGAATTGTCATTTCATTGATGCAACCTGTTTTTATTGTAATAAAAAAGGGCATCTAGCTAGTGTATGCAAATCTAAAGGTAATAATAGGCAGAGGCCTAAGTTCAAATCACATGGTAAGGTAAACCTATGTGAGTCTGATAGTGCAGATGAAGAATTGTCCCAAGATCAGGGTCATGCATTGTATACCGTAGCCTATGCTGGTAATGACGGTAAAATAAATAGTTTTACTACTCAAATGATTTTGAATGACGTTCCAGTTGAAATGGTCATCGACACTGGTGCAGTGGTGACCGTAATGCCTGATTCTGTGTTTTATGAAAAATTTCAGGATAAATTGCCAATATTGGAATCTTCTGGTATTAAATTAAAAACCTATACTGGTGAAAAAATCAACGTTGTTGGTGAGTTTAAGGTTAACGTCACAACTCAACAAGGACATCTACAGCTACCTGTGGTCGTTGTGAAAAATACGGGACCGCAACAGCCTACGCTCATGGGGCGTAATTGGATTGAGAAGATCAAATTGGACTGGAGTGGTGTGAAGCCTACACGCAGTGAAGACTTGATGGTGCACCAGCTTGGAAATGGTGAGTCCGTTCCAAATATTATTTCAGATTTTAAGAAGAGATATTCCGATGTTTTTGATGAATCAATCGGGGAAATTAAAAATATGTCTGTGGACATTGTTTTGAAAGAGGATGTCAAGCCTGTGTTTTGTAAAGCACGAAACGTGCCTTATGCACTCAGATCTGCAGTCGAGAATGAACTCGAAACCTTGCAGAAAAATGGGGTAATTTATCCTGTGCTACAATCGTCATGGGCAACACCTATAGTAGTCGTTCCAAAGCCGAACAACAAAGTAAGGCTTTGTGGGGATTTCAAGGTCACTCTAAATCCAAATATTAGGACGGACCACTATCCTCTTCCGAACCCCGAGGATATTTTTTCCAGTATAGCGGGTGCTAAGTTGTTCACTAAACTAGATTTGTCCGCTGCGTACAATCAACTTAGAATAAATAAACCTTCACAGGAATTACTGACAATTACCACACACAAGGGATTGTTTCGCTTTGCTCGCCTCCCGTTTGGTATCACGAGTGCAGGTGCACTTTTTCAACTAACAATGGACAAAATCCTACAAGGATTAGGGAATACCAAGGCGTATTTAGACGACATTTTGATCTACTCCCAAAATGTCAAGGAAATGACTCAAAGAGTCGATGCGGTTTTGCATCGTCTCCATGAATATGGCGTGAAAATTAACTCAAATAAAAGCGAGTTCTTCAAGGATCGTATCACGTTCCTAGGGCATTGCCTAGACCAACAAGGCATCCACCAAAGCAAGGCACTTACGGATGCAATCGTAAATGCACCTAAACCTGAAAATGTATCGCAACTTAAATCATACCTAGGTTTGCTCAACTACTACGGAAAATTCCTGCCTAATCTGTCCACTCTGTTACAACCTCTCTATAAACTGCTTCAAAATGATGTAAAATGGGAATGGTGTGATAAGTGCCAAAATGCTTTTGAAAATAGTAAAAAACTCTTACTTAAGAACAATGTACTCATGCCGTATGATCCTAAACTAGATATTGTCGTAACTTGTGACAGTTCGAGCTATGGAGTAGGATGTGTTTTAGCTCATCAATTACCAGATGGTAGGGAGCGCCCAATCGCTTTTGCGAGTCGCACTCTGACTAAGTGCGAGATCAAGTACAGCCAAATTGAGAAAGAGGCGCTCGCACTCTTATTTGCTGTGAAGAAATTTCATAATTTTTTGTATGGACGCAGATTCACCTTAGTGACCGACCATCGACCACTAATCTTTCTTTTGGGTCCAACCAAAGCAGTACCAACCTTAGCTGCGGCCAGAGTTCAAAGGTGGGCCTTAACGCTCTCTGCGTATGACTACACCATCCGTTACAAAAGGGGAGTTGAAATATCCAATGCTGATTGCCTCTCACGCCTTCCGTGTGACAGCAGCACTAACAATGACTTAGGCCTAGAGGAAGGTGAAGTAAATTTTTTCAGCAATGTAGACCAGCTGCCTGTGACTCATAGGGAGATCGGATTGGCTACCAAGTTCGACCCAACACTATCAAGAGTCATGGAATACACAACTAATGGATGGCCTAATCATACCGAAGACCCGGCTCTGAAACCTTACATGGACAAAACCTTACAACTGTCTACTGAGAAAGACTGCCTTTTATGGGGGAGTAGGGTGGTGATTCCACCAACACATCGGAAGGAGGTTCTTTTAATGCTTCATGCTGAACACCCGGGAGAATCCAAGATGAAGGCACTTGCAAGAAGCTACGTCTGGTGGCCAAAAATCGACCAGGAAATAGAGGAAATGGTGAAAGAATGTAAGATTTGCCAAGTTACAAGAAAGTCAGCAACCGTAGCACCACTGCAACCGTGGTCCTGGCCGAAGCATAATTGGGAGAGGATTCACCTTGACTTTGCTCAGTATGAAGGCAAAGATTTTTTGTTGATAGTAGACAGTCACTCAAAATGGATCGAGGTATTCTTTATGTCATCGACAACCTCTAACAAGACAATCGAAAAACTACGTCATTGTTTCGCAGCCTATGGTTTACCTTGTACCGTAGTCACCGACGGAGGCCCTCAGTTCACATCAGCTGAGTTCAAGGAGTTTTTGAGGTCAAATGGGGTACACCATGTGTTTTCGCCTCCGTACCATCCACCATCGAACGGATTGGCAGAAAGAGCTGTCCAGACGGTCAAAGATGCTTTTTTGAAACAAATGCTTCACGACTCGGCCCATAAGACAAATCGAACCTTGCAACATCGCATAGATTCATTCCTGTTTTCTTATCGGAACACTCCACATTCTACAACTGGAGTCACACCATCCGAAGCCTTTTTCAAATTTAAGCCAAGGACACATCTCAGCCTTTTAAAACCGCATCTGGCTAACGACATGAACTTAAAGCAAGGTAAAATTGTAAGATCTGCTAATGCTCATAGAGGCAAACCACGCTCATTCAATGTTGACGATCATGTGTTCGTTCGAACCGTCCGAAATGAAAATGTAAATTGGCACTCTGGTGTGATTACTAAAGTCATTAGCCCAATGACATATTTGGTTAGAGTTGATGGTAAAACCAGATTTGTTCATGTTGACCACCTGCGTACGGACAACACCAAAGAAGAACAACCAGATGATGACGACATACTTGTACGTTTTCCAAGGGAAATCTTTCAACCGAGTCCAGACAGAAAAAAACCATCAGAAATAGAAACACCACAAATGAAACATAAATCACCAGTCAAGACTCCAGTTACGTCTCCCAAGGAAACAAACATAAACCCGGACAAGACTTATGACACTGAGGCTGTGCGTCGATCGCAGAGGGTTCGACGCTTACCTCACAGATTTAACTTGTAAATAAACATGAAGAGACTCCCCACCTTGTATATACAAGAAGAAAGTTTTTTTTTAAGGGGGGAGGAATTGTTATAAATGAAAAAGGAATATTTATTTTATTTAAATTAGCCTATAAGGAATCCAGAAGAAATATATTAGTTAGTATTTGCAAGAGGCAACATGATTTGGCGGAAGCAAAGTCTTACATTAGTCATTACAATAGAACAATAGATTCCAGTGACCGATAAGAATCCCCACTACCCTTGACCATGCAGAAATCGTCAGTCTACAGTAGATGACAGGTACGTCTAGATGTCGTTTCCGCCTGTTCATTTTTCCAGTATAATTCCATTATATTTTAGTGCGGCCATAAGCCTAGTTTTCATATTAAATATATGTTTAACTATTTCTCAAAGTATAACAGTAATGAGTGGAGCGAAGCGAAGCTCTTTGGGAACGACTTCAATGCAAACTTTCTAACAAATTAACACAATAACGGCGGAACATATTTTAGCCAAACTTACCAAGGTTGCTTTGTCAAACGTTTGGAAGGTTTAGACGAAACAAACTTGAATTTATTATACTGCCTATATAATTAAAAGTAACCCTAAGTTTTTTTTATTTTAACATTGGACTTATGGGTTGCCCTGGTGCTTACATAATAACGACGTAAATGTAAACAAAACAGAGAATCAAAGCACATGTTAAAATCAAGCCACGACCTAAACACAGTACAAAGAGAAAAAACTGGAATGATGACTACTAGTCATCGAGCTCTATTACTACAGAGATCGATGTCACTAGTTAACATTTATGTCGCAATTTTGAAACGACCACTGATCGAATAGGTACAGTATTTTACATATTTGATTTACGTAGCTAAATGGCTAAATAAGGTACAACAAACAACAACAAGGTGGACAAATAACATTTATCTTATGTTATTGGGATTAAAACAACTACAAGATTCTGCAGTTTTAAAAAACTAGGTATTCTCAAATCAATATATTTTTTCTAAATATGCTATTATAAAAGTAAATAATAAGAAAGCATATTCATGCTTTCTTATTATTTACTTTTAAATATTTTTGATGGTATCATCGTTTTGGTGACACACCTGTTGTGTTGATTGTTGTGTTGGCAACGACTTGGGGTATATTATTGCCCAAAAAGAATAAAGTATTTTTTGACTTTTCGTTTTACAAAAAAAAATTAATTCGCATAATAAGCTAATGCATAACCGAAGAGCCGTTGATTTACATAAACCAATTAATGAAATCAATTACAACAATGCATAGGACCGGATACAGTCGGTCGTCAGTTTTCAAGCCGTGCACGTGCTCTAAATGTTTTCGTGTATTCGTGTTTTCGTGTGTCCGTCCTGTGCTTATATGTGTATTATTTATTCAACCCCTGACGCAATGCAAATGAAGACAATTCGTGTTACATGTGACAAGACTATAGTTTAGTGTACCACTACGCACCTGACGATGGAGTCATCTCTGAAACGGCCGTAGTGGAATATTACCCCTGATTGTGTTGACGGTAAGAACCATAGATATTATTATTACAACAATGCATCTTGGCCGATACGTAGCGTAGCTGACCACGGGGGTAGATTTCCGGGGGTAGATGTCCGGGGGTAGATTTCCGGGGGTAGATGTCCGGGGGTAGATGTCCGGGGGTAGATGTCCGGGGGTAGATTTCCAGTCGCGGGCTGCTTCTCGACCGTGTATAGGCCCCGCCCCTCGTGACGTCAAAATGACGTAGGCGTTTTTTCATGGGGGTAAATATCCGGGGGTAGAATTCCGGCGACCCAACATTTCCTGGCGCCTAACTAATTTTAAGTTATTTAAATTTCTTTCCTGGTTTTGGATGGTCAGGGTGCGGTTGGAAGGGGTTTTACTGTAACAAATTTTGTATACAAATAAAAAATTTATTTTATTTTTTTTTTTTCTTTTTAAGTGAGTCGGTGGCTCAGTCGGTAGCGTCGCGGACTTCAGGCCCAAGGCAGCGATGTCGTGGGTTCGGATCCTGGTCACTGCCAATAACATTTTATCAGTACAGTTCACCTTTGTACTGTACCGGCTCACTCCTTGCTTTGCTGCAAACGATCCACGCACGGGCGCTTAGTCTATGTGGACGGGCAAATGCAAGGTTAAAAGAGGCCGCCAACCTCTTAAAAAAAAAAAAAAAGGTTAAAACTTCAAACTTCTCTCATGTAAAAACTGCTTTGCTGTAAAAGTAGCATTTCAAAATTAAGTTAACATTTTTTGTAAGTTACATTCAGTGTTCGGAAGTTTTACAAAATACAGTAAAACCTCACTAACTCGACAGTCACTAACAGCTGATAGGACATACGCCCAAAAAGCAATATTTCAGAACATTTAGTGTTAATTGTAGAATATTCAACATTTCTTTGACAATTGTTTACTCAATATGTAAAAAACTTACCAGCACCTAAGTAATAAATTTATATGTAAAAGTTAGTCTGTTATGTGTTCGCTTATTGAAACCCATTAAAAATTTCAATGTTCTGGATAACTCAACAACCCCCAACCTCGTCAACCTCTGGGTCCTCAAATTGCTGAGTTAGTTATGTTTTACTGTATTAGTTATATTAAATTTAGCTTACATGTAAGAGAAAAACATACCGTTTACGCTGTTGGACAAAATCCCACAGAGAGAATGGTGACTTCTCCCACATTTCACCTTCAACAAAGGCGAATGAAAATCCCTTCTGGAAGGCCCTCATGGCAAAGAAGCAATCCTCAGCCACTGAACCATCCAAGCCGTTGTCAAAGGAGACCTGACGCTCGGCTCCAACCTGAACAGAACACAGCTCACATCAGTACAACAATTTAATTTATTTATTCTATTATATATTTAGTTTCATTATTATTACTATAGATATAGCCAGTGTTCAAAAAACTAAAAAAAAAACTGAAGGCACGGTATTTTTTTGTAATAATTTTTTCTGTGGTGACCCACCCGAAGACAAATTAACTCCACGAGTAAAAAGCAAAGATGAATTGTATGGGAGTATATCTTCATCTTAAATTTGCATACACTTACACATTGGGAAAAAATCTTTACCACCTTACAAAAATATTATATATGAAGTAAAAATACAAATTAAAATCAAGATCTATGCACATCCTTGGGTATCAACCCATAGCGGTTTTGATTGGTTGAAAAAAAAATTATAACACGGCGTCTATTGTAGTTTCTGATACAGTAGAAGGAGTAACAGAACATACTCTCTATGATAATTAGTTTTTGGAACTATTTGAATCTGTTTAACTATGTTATTATTGTTCAAGGATGCACAAAAGGTTCAATTCTCATGAGGAAAAATTACAAAAAAATAAATACAGATTACTGTATCACTATCACATGACGCACTCTGAAATATTTTAAACAAAAAATAAATCATTCCTTCATTATAATATTAAACATTTAGACTTATTAATAAGACTTTGTATCACTTTTCTACAACAAATTGTTATTGGTCTTGCCAACCCAAATTATAGTCTAAATTCTACAGACATTTTTTGAAAGATAAACTAATAATTATTAATTGTGAATTCAAACTAAAAAAATAAAGATATGTCATGTGGAATGCGAAAAGGAACCTCTTGTCAGCGATGCACAATTTTCTTTACGGCCGATTTAAGTAAACAAGGTCAAAAATATTGAAATTTGTTTTTTTATCGATTACTGGTACCTCATTTAACATAGAACAGGACAGTAGCGGTTAAAATATCGAATTGAAGATGTAAAAGGTCAAAATAAATCATTTTGTTAGCCTCTGTTTGGTCTGATAAAAGGTACGGTATCTCTTGTTGCTCAATGTTTATTTTGCCATAATGACAAGAGGCCCCATTTCTAATAATCACTTTATAAACAGACTTTAAGTCAATAAAATGAATTATCCTGCATTCTAGTGGAAATTTAGAGAACTACAACAAAGTTCAGTTCACGGAGAACCACAAATTTTGCGGTTCCGACAAGAGGTCCCTTTTTTATCTTATGGAGAAATAACAAAGGAAACAAGAGGCCCCTTTTCTGAAATATGATTTTTACGACATGCTTCGATAAAACAATTATTTAAATGAAAACTACAGAGAGTTAAGACAAAAATTGGCATTGCTTCCAAAGAGGACATTATTAGCTTTCTTTTGATACAAAAATTGTTTATTCAATAAAAAAAAAACTCTTTTTAAGCGTATTTGAAATTTTCAAAATAGTTTTTCTCAAAATGACCCTTTTCCATAACAAAATGTCAAAGTCCTATAACTTTCACAAAAAAAAATCGTAGATGCATGGGATTTGCACAAAGTGATAAAAGAGACAACTGTACACACAGAAAGGTCTTTATTTCTAAAAAATTTGCTAATATCAGTAGTGAGGAAATGTGAATGTCTGTCTGTTTATTAGTCTTTGACACAGAGATGTCTTTGTCAATTGATACACATTGCAGCTAATGAATGACAATTCCGATATCTCACTCAATCGTTCAGTTCTTGTCTCAACCATCAACACAAACAACTATTTTCATAGACTAAAATTAATGTATGGGGAGGAGTTAAGCTACTGATGCAAGGGTGGGGGTTTCCGTTTAACAAGAGGAACCAAACCTTTGACCAAAACAAACAGTCATACTTTCAAATATTTGTTCTGTATCAGTGAATAATCCTCAAATAAACAAAAACATTCTTAAATAAATGACACCACAGACTTCAAAATATACACAGATTCATGTAGATGAGTGAAAATTAAAAAACGTACGTTTTTAGGAAACACACTTTGCAAATTTGTTTCCCCTTTTTTCAAAACTTTTATTATTTTTTTGATTTCATTAACATTTGAAGTTTCATAAAATGTCCATGGTAACGCAATATCTTTGGTAGTTTTTTTTTTAAAGAGCATCTTTAGTGGAAAAACACAAAATCCTGTCACGACCATAACAGACGTTTAAATGAATATTAAAAATAGTTAATATTATTTTTATAACTATGTTTTGCTATAAACTAATTTACTTTTATGACCATTATACATTAAAAAGGCCACTGAGCTTTTAGTATATTTGGTCTTTCTAGAAAAAAATAAAAAACTCAAAAAAATTGAAAAAAAGCCAATAATATCTTTTTAAGTTTGTATAACTCCGAAAAAACTTACCTGAGACCCGAAAAATCGTTATGTTTGCATAGAGGCGTGCTTCTTTTGTGTATAAAACATTGAAATATGACGATATTTTAATTTTTGAAATTTTTATGACAGAAATCATAAACGTGATGGTCAGGGACAAGCGGTACGGTCGTGAATTTTATAAAACAATCTAAATCTTTCTAAACAATCCTTTAATTATACTATTAGTTATAATAAAAATATGTGTTTCAATTGAACTAAACTGTTCAAATTACAATTATATTAAAGTTATTGTCACGACCAAACACACTATAATCCATAAGGCTGGATAGGTCGTGAAAAAACCCGCGATGGTCGTGAAACTTTGGTCGTGAAATTACGTGTTATTTGGCTCTGTTCTGGCGGTAGCTCTGCACCTCATGTTCGAGGATACAAAGTGGACTTCTAGGTTAATCTAGCAATTGAAATATCTTATAAACAAAAATTAACACCATGTCTACTTCATCGAATGACTATGTACGGTCATGGACACACCAAAATTACAAAAAACACAACCTTTCCTGTATTAATCTTGTAATTCCACCTTTCAACTCGAAACGACCGGCACTACAATCCTGACGTACACCCCGAACTAGTCTCTAAAACCAACTGACTCCATCAACGCGAGGCTTGCCACTGTCGTGCTCCAAAGTTGAAAAATTTTCCCAAATGGTCGTGACGCCAAATCGAGGGACAGACTTATTATGTCATGGTAGTCAGTTTGCAATGACAATAAAATTATAATATGCTCCTTTTTTGTAAGTTTAATAACCATTGATGACATAAAAATATGGCTTTATATATTGCTGCATGAATAATTAGTCTAAAAACAGCGTGAAAGTTGGAAAATGTACCCTAGGGACACGTCATGGTCGTGAATTTCGAGACTTTAAAAATACGAAAAAAATACCTAGAACCTATTTAAAACCAAATAAATGTGTGTAACATGTTGCCCCCATCCCAAAAAATATTAAAACACATAATAATAAACTACAAATCCAGTAGCTACGAAGTAAAATGCCAGGGACATGAAAACGTACGTTTTTAAATTTTCACTCAGATGTGTCCGTCAACACGATAACTCAAGTAATATTGGAACAATTTTTATAAAATGTGGTAATAGGAACCTGACTTAAGCTGAGGCGATCGTAACAACTTTTTGAATGGCAACTTTTGTACAGAAGTTATTTTTCATTAAAGTTCCTATTATCATATCAAACATTTAACTTTTACTTATGTGTTTTTAGGTTATACTTCATTTGTGATTATTTTTACTTAAGTTTTATGACGTCCCCCAAGTTACAACCTGTGGATGACCATAATTTTCATCTTCACCATACAGCACAGTACAGGACTTATGACAGTCACAATGTTAGCATTAGGGGATCGTCATGTTTATCATCATGCAAGTTGCGTTATATTGTCCTTGTGACTCATGCAAAGGAGCTAAAGAAAGTTTTACTTATTATGTATCTTTGTGCATTTTAAAGATTAATATTTTGAGATATTGATTTGGATTTTGACTCTGGCTTAGCCAAAATTAGTGTAGTAGTAAAATAGTGTAAAATAATGTAAACATTAGAGCGTTTTTCTAGGGCCTAATGTTTTTAGGGTGGCTAGTGTCGTTAAAACTCCCATTTGAAATACCTAGTGTATGAATCCATGCATGGTGAACATGGAATGGACTATAGTACATCATGTGTTCACATTTTATCATTGACATCAACCAAACAGGTGGAGCAAGTGGTTGTGGTGGCCTAATGTGAAAGTATAACTGAACTGCCTGGGGTTATGGCATGACTAATACCACATTCCAACACAGTTCACAAACTGTTGAAGGATAATATGTAGAAAAGAAGTTTATCAAGTTTATTTTGTGACTAGACACTAAATGTACCAGTTTACCATTTGGGGCTGAAGTATATATTACTAATCTTATAAATTAATAGGCAAGCATGTTTCTTGGAAACCGTTTTTCACAGCTCGTGAGCATTGCAGAGAAAATCTATGCATACTGTTAGAAATATATTTTTCTGTAGATGTGCAGAATCGCTTTATAAATTAAAACTAGCTGTACCCGCGGGCTTTGCCCCGTTTAACTTCTTAATTTTCAATATGATCTCGTTCGCATGGCTCAATCACGTCCTGGTGTTACTTCGTTCGCTACGCTCACTCACCTTTAGGTTGGAGCTCGTTCGCTGCGCTCACTTGCCTTCAGGTTAGCTCGTTCGCTACGCTAACTCGTCTCCAGGTTGAAGTTCGTTCGCTACGCTCACTCACCTTTTGGTTGCAAATTAGCTGTTGTCATAAATTAAAATAAATAATAGTGCTGCACCCTGTTGGTAATCATTGTAACTTTAATGCAATTCAACATCATAGAACAGAACCAACTTCTGTTAAGATTCATTAATTCCTTTTAAATATGAAAAATCATAAGGCTAACATGGGAAACTCCAGAGCCACTGGGGCGGAGCCCGAGAGTCCGATCAGAATAAAAACAGCTTAGTTTTCCTATTTAATGCCTAAAGAATCAATGTACCAAATTTCAGCCTCCTAGGTAAATGGGAAGTGGGAGAATTAGTGATGAGTGAGTGAGTGTGTCAGTGAGTCAGTGAGGGCTTTGCCTTTTATAAGTATAGATACTGTAGAATAAAAAATAAACACAAAAATGAGTTTTTAATTTAAAGTAATTAAGGGGATGCGGGATACTATCCCCCGGAAAACTACCCCCCAGGTGAAACGTGACGTCACAAAATCTGCTAACTAACCAATATGGAAACCGTGTCCGCGACTGGAATACTACCCCCCCCCTAGACAAATCATGCTATGTAATTTTAATTTTAATTCGAGTAATTCCGTTGGATAATAGAAAAGGCATGTGGTGAATATAAAACCGATTTTAGAAATGTTACAGCAAGTTTGGTTGGTTAGGTTAGGTTAGATTAGAACTGTTTGACAACTAAATTTGAGTGTCCGTGACTGGAAAACTGCCCCCCCGGTCTTTGACGTCAATATGACGTAGGGACCTGCTTGGGGGGGTAGTCTTCCGGCGACCCGTAATTAATATGTGTTGTCATGCAGAGGACAAAATAACAACGAAATATAAAAAGAAAATCAAAACAAAATGGAAGAAATTCCAATACATGCTTTATTTACAGCGTGGGGTGAAAATAGAGAGTTACGTACATTATATTTTTTGGTCGAGTTTTTGACCACTGGACAACCTCTAGTAATAATTAATTAATAATTCAACAAAAAATTAAACATTTATTACATTTTACTATAATTTTAACTATTAGACCCAAGTCTTTTAATCAGTTGAGCCCAATAAAGTGGTTTTATTTTTTAGTAAAAATAGAGATACTGTATAATCAATGGTGATCAATAAGCACTTTTGTTTGCATGTCCTGTAGAATCAATCAAATAAATGAGAATCATTAACCATTCCTCACGTAAGCCTATCAGAACATGCGATGTAATTGTAATAAAATTTACCAGGGGGCGGCGGTTTGTTGTTTTTCTAAAGCCGCGTCTACAACAAAGTCTTCCACTAAAGTTTGGTTTCCTGCGGAGAGGCGGTAAAGATCAATGTCAACTTTTGGTTGTCAAATTTGGTGTACGCCCAACTTAAAACTAAAAGCAATATTGCAAAAGCAGACACCTAAACATAAAACACCTGGGAAGCCTCTTCACAAAGATGTTTAGGATTTTAGGGGGTCTAAGAGTCTGGGCTCTTTGGAAAATTGTTGTCTTAAAATATATGGACTAGAGTTCCACCATTCTTTTAGAGATTTGGAGTTGATTTTTTTTTTTATTTCATTTGTTTATTTTTTTAACAAGGTTGGAATAATTTAAATTGTTAAAAATCTATTTTCCACAGGAAACGGAAATCCTCCAGGTTGAAAAACCAATTTGCACCATGAGTGTTGACATTGACATAGCAGTTTCAACATATTTATTTAAAATGAACCAATAGCAGTGTCTCATTTGTAGAAGCCTGGGGTTCATTATTTACATAACATAAGCAAGTAACTTGACCACCTGACCTGGATGACCTTGAGATTGTTTCTTCTCTATCCAGACACAGGTTCTTTGTGCTCCAGAGCCAATGTATACAGGATTGTGTATATTGTGTACAGTATCTGTATTATTTGAGGATCCTGAGGACCATTGCATAACCTGTGCACGTGACCACCTGACCTGGATGACCTTGAGATTGTTCCTCCTCCTCCATCTTGACTACTGACACAGGCCCTTTGTGCTTCAGAGCCAATGTACACAGGATGGTGTATATTGTGTGCAGTACCTGTTTATGTAGGCCTACTTTAAAGGGACCATTGCATAACCTGTGCACGTGACCACCTGACCTGGATGACCTTGAGATTGTTCCTCCTCCATCCTGACTACTGACACAGGTCCTTTGTGCTCCAGAGCCAATGTACACAGGATGGTGTATATTGTGTGCAGTAGCTGTGTCTGTAGGCCTACTACATAAGGACCATTGCATAACCTGTGCACATGACCACCTGATCTGGATGACCTAGAGATTTTTTTCTCCTCCATCCTGACTAGTTATGCAGGCCAACAATTATTCGTGGTACCTACACAATTTTAGTAATTTCGGCATCAACTACAAAATCTCACAAAATTTAAACGTTTTACTTAACCATAATAACATACATATAAATAATATTGCCAACTGTTATGCAACGTGTAGGCCTAGTATGAGAACGTCTGTTTATTTTTGTGTGTGAGTGCGTGCGTGACGTACGTAAACACGCACTTCCTTCCTCAGTAGCTTCGCGGGCTTTCACAGACCGGGCGGGGACGTCTAGACGTAAATATCTGAACGATTACTACTACTTTGAAGTAATAAAGTACTTAACATTAGTTTTACTCAAAATTTCAAACAAGTACTAGAATAATAATTTTTGTTATACATTAGTCTCTCATATATATAAAACTACTGAAGTCCATACCAAATTTGTTTTGCCTAATTATATTATTGACTGATAATAAGATACATAATAGATGTAACATATTCTAAACAAAACTACAACATTAAGTCAAATGTATTTGTTTTACAAGTTAAACTATGAACAATTGGAATCACCCAAAAGATAAGACATTGTGGCATTAGTGCAAGATAAAGATGAAGGTTGCCTGGTGGAACGTAAACAGTGACTCAGTCCCTTGTCTCTATCTTGTCACCGACAATAGGAGATGTTGTGTTATCAGAGATGGAATTGGCACCGCGTCGCAATACTACATCTATTCGTACAGTTTGTGATTATGCTTTTACTCATGCATAAGGTTTTCTTTTAGAGGACAAAAATTCATACATTTAGTAAAATTAGTAAGCACTAAGCAACATCAATCCATGCCGCCATCAAGACCGTACCAGTGGCACGGATAGTCAGTTCATAAATCTATGAACTACCCATGAATCTGATTTAACACACTGGCAATACAATAATGTTTTTAGTAAGTTGTGACAGTCTTATCCTAGTAACTTATCAAGAGAACTCATCGTTCCATAAAATATTTGCCTCTGAGTTTCTTGCAGTAGATAATTTTATACTGATTGTGATAACTGTTATCACGGAAAACAATTTTTCCAACCAGGCTAATTTACTTTGAATCTGAGCCAAATAACGTATTTGCTGGATTTGTTTACAAACTGAAAATTATTCTCAGCAGAAGATGTAAAGATCTCACTTCGTAATGTGTGGATTCAACCATAAAGTTGTTAATTCTTTATTTGTAAAGCTAATATGATGAGTGTTTGTTTACCCTACAACGCATTACTCACCGGCGACGATCGCACCACATACACACCTGTAACCAGACAAACATGGGATTATCATTTGTTGGGAACCTAAACTACATTACAAACATTGCCAGTTGGTGTTACTGTAGCTGGCTGTCAATGTTTCATTGATTATTTGCCTTAACATAACATATGCCTTAAGCACCGTATGCACAAGTACAGAGTGTTGTTAAAGAAATCAGGTCTACGACAATATACTCGAAAATGCAGAGTTGAGTGGTGATTGAGGCCACTCAGTACAAACATGCCAAACCAAGACATCAAATTCATTTTAAAATTAACGCCAATGAAGTATCTTAAATATCAATTGGAATGCTAAACAGGTCATTTTTAAGGAAGAGCCATCTGCGAACTACAAATAAAGGTAGGTTTATCGTCGTCATGCACCTGCTTGGAAACAATGAACAGGACGCGACGACAGAGCGGCCAGCGACACGACACTCGACATGGTCGGGTACGGCAGAAAATGTGTAACTTGGGCAACACTGCCATAGCAAACACTTCACAATAACCATCATAAACACAAATCTATACCGTCAGTTAAAAATTCAACTGTCAAATTATAATTTGTAAAATTTTACTAATATGCTTGGTGTACAAGGTCGTGGAGTTAAGAGGATTACAGCTTCATTTCATTCTGTCCGAGGCTTCCCCCTACCTCAACACAACAGGTCCACTGCATCGTACACGTGCAAACAACACACGAGGTAATATAGCAAGTATGTAAGGACCTACAACAACACAACATCATAGTAACGTGTGTATGGTGTACAAGGTCGTGGAGCTAAGAGGATTACAGCTTCACGCTGTCCGAGGCTTCCCCCTACCTCAACACAACAGGTCCACTGCATCGTACACGTGCAAACAACACACGAGGTAATATAGCAAGTATGTAAGGACCTACTACAACACAACATCATAGTAACATGTTTGGTGTACAAGGTCGTGGAGCTAAGAGGATTACAGCTTCACTCTGTCCGAGGCTTCCCCCTACCTCAACACAACAGGTCCACTGCATCGTACACGTGCAAACAACACACGAGGTAATATAGTAAGTATAACGTGTGTACGTTTGCAATATAATATGACCTGAAACACGAAAGGGTATAGCGAATACGTAATTGTAGACTGGTTACCAGAATCAGATGTTGGGAAGAAGCCAAGACGAGATGACGAGATCTGTCACTCACACAGCACAAGGACAGCGACAGCAACAGTGGCCAGTGGCCGAGTATGGAGAATACATGTGGAATCTAGGCTGAATAGACCTACACAATAATAGACAAGCTTTCAACCAACTAAGCTCGCTCCAATAAATTGGTCACTCAAGGATTCGGAGGTGGCGGGACAGATTTGGGTTCGGAGGTGGCGGAACGCGGAGATAGTGTGAGCACACGGTTCTAATTTTTAATGACGAAAAAAGCCGATAGCAACTGGTTAACGAAGTGAGTCGAGAGAATTAGGTACTTTGGTATTATACCGACCACACCGATAAGTCGCCTTCCAAATAAGATTTTAATTAGTTTAAATAACAAAATCTTCCTAACCTGACCTAAAACATAGTCCACCCTTAAGTTATAATTATTAGGTGTGGTCGGTATAATACCAAAGTACCGTGAGTTCTCGTATCTTTCTATTTTATAAATAAATTGCGTTAAAAAATGTTGGTTTTTAAGTAGACCTACACGACATAGTATACTGTTAACATCAGTGTTACAGGGAGAGGATATAAATAAATATTTGCCTTAAGCATTCTCCATTACATTTGATTGATAGGCTCATTTGGAAATTAGTATACATTAGTTTAACAACCATACCTTCAGCAAATCAAGTTAGTTTGGCAATAAATACGAGACATGTCTAAATCACCAATGAATGTCGTTTTAGGTTTACTAATACAGTACCTAGTGGTAACGTAACAACAATCCTATGTAGTAAAAACGGTTTAAACGTACGCGGCAAACGATTGAACAAATCTTAATTAGTCAATTAAACAACCGTGATGAATTGGTGATAATTTTGTCTGACTCCGGCTGCATAGTAAACTGTATAATTGATGTCACGCGTCGATGACGGTGACAAGCCAGTGAGTCGGATACAACAGCAACAGACACAAGGACAGCTGATGCTGCGTCATAATGACGTGACGACACGAGACAGGTAGAATACATCAGTTCTTCAATATGTTGTGAAAATCTTGAGCAATGTATGCTTGGGGGTAGCGGATTATTATCCCCCCTGGAATTTTACCCCCTGGGCAAAACTGAAGTCACAAACGAGGGGGTAAAATTCAAGTTTTTATTGCTAAACTAATTTATCAAGCTCTGTCTATTTTCATTAGACTTCCAAATCCGCGGGGGTAATATTCCGCCCACGAACAAACTTTAGAGCGCTCAGGTAACTACGTCATAGTGACGTCAGCGCCCAGGGGGTAAAATTCCAGGAGGATAACATTCCGGCGACCCTATGCTTGCACCATGATCTCGAAAACAGCTTCAACGATTTCCTTCAAATGTTATAAATTTATACCTGCCCTAAAAAAGTGTTTACTGCAGTTAAAACTACAAACAAAAATTTAACTACGAAAAATCTATATATTAATAGGCAAGCATGTTTCTTTAAAACCTTTTTTCTCAGCTTGTGTGCATCGTGGGGTAAATCTGCGCATACCGTTAGAAAGCAATTTTCCTGTAGGTGTGCAGAATCCCTTTATAAATTTAAATAGGCTCAAAGATAAGCACAAAAAATGAGATTGAAAATTTGAAAAAATTAACATGGATTTTATGCGTTGCCATGCTGGTGACGAAATAACAACGAAATATAAACAGAAAATCAAAACAAATGGAAGAAACTCCAATCACATGTTTTATTTACAGTGTGGGGTGAAAATAGAGAAGTGAGTACATTACATATTTTTGGTCGAGTTTCGACCACTGGACGACCTCTCGTAATAATAAATTGGAAGTCAACATTTTTTTACATTGGCTTTTACATTGGGTTGCCAAGTAACCATGTTGTTTGAACAAAATAACAAGGAAAAAGTAAACAAAAGACTTGTAACATGGGTAACCGGCTATACAAATAGGTATTATACCAGAAAACTACAAATTACAGTAAAGGGAATAAACATCAGTTCATTGAGCAAAGATTACACTGAAGATTACTCGATATAGGGGTACAATGGAAATGAACGATACGGAGCCATGGCTCGGTCCCCAAGTACTATTACAAAAACTATTTAGTAATAATGAATCACGAATACAAAACCTAAACAAGGAGGGACAACTATCCTTCTACTAATGTCTTCGAGTCATCAAATCAATGCAATATTGACGAGAACATCATGGTAAGCAGCGCTGAGTTCTTTCCAATTATTACAAAGCCACGAAAACGCGATTAACTAACGAGAAGTTTACAAAATCCTTAAACTAAAAAATGAGTCATATCATACAAGTAATTCCCGACAAATTAAAAAGATATCCACTGTTCGGGAACGGATATTGTATAAAAAGTATAAAGTGAGTCAAAAGCCAAAAGGAAATTAGTGCTTGCTTGCAGTTATAAAGACGTGTGTGCCACACGCGGCGAATATCTGGGAATAGACCCGAGGTCGGAGTGGCTCATTTACCATCATACACCTTGCATCTTGACCTCCGGACTTGCTAATAGCAGGCTAACGCTGGCTAAACTGGCTAACACTAACATATACCTCAATAGGAGTACTGTATGTGAC